TGCTCTAATGCTTGTGTTTATACCGGCCAGCCGCCGCATGTTTCTGAAGTGGCTCTCTGCGTTGCTTGGCTAAAAATAGTCTTTTGTGAGTTGTCACAGCGTGGAGGACGGAACAAAACCTCGTCGAAGCCGTAAGGGGTAACGGTAACATAATACGCTGATCGTGGGCTGCATTTAAATGAACATTTATTTATAAAACAAAATATCTTCTTTGGCCATATTAACCTACTCAATAGCATTAACACAGGCTTTACTCTTTTCAAACTTTATCTGGAATGTCAGTTTCTGTCACTGCAACTTTCCGATCAGGCGAACGAACACACACACACGAACACACACGCATGAAATCGTCTGCCTCATGAAAAAAAATTATTTAAAAAAAAATTTAGTTAATATTTGCATTTATTATTTATTTTATCCACCCGCAAATAATCAGAATGCATTTTTATCCGCAGCGCCCGTGGATATAGGAAAAGCAAAATATGTTTGCTGCGTAAATCAGACAGACTTGCTGAAAATGCAAATTCATTCTCTGCCAGCAGGAGGTGCTTTAAAGCGAGAGAAAAAGGTTTCCCCAGTAACGGCTGTACACAAAGCAGCGCTGAGCTCACAAACGCTGCTTTCAGGCATGTAACATGCAAGATGAAATAAAAATTACATCGACAATTTTCTTAAGATAGTCTTCCTTCAGAAATGCAGTGATCTAAAAACACCCGCGCCTCGTTTTGATTTTTAAACGTGCAATACGTGCTCCTGTTTATTCAATGAAGCCTTTTGGAAAATCGGTCAGTTTTGATATTGTGGCGAGCACCACAAATAAATGTATGGGAAGCACATCCCACAGCACAACCACCTGAGCCCAACATCAGTCTACTCATCACTTTAACTTCGTTTGTAGCCGGCGCCATAGCCAGACTGATAAACAAACACAGACCGGAAGTTAACTTCGGGCCAGGCGCGTGCGCCCGATGAAACCGTCTATATATAAGCTTGAAGCATCAGAATCGGCATCGGTTTCGGCCGATCACCATGACAAGAAATCAGTACTCGGTATCGGCTGCAAAAATCCTGATCGGAGCATCCCTACTTCCAACCATTTATATGTATAAACTGTGATGCCAGTCATTAACTTCTTCATTTGCTCTTGTAGGAAACGTATGACACCATCCCCGGTCAGACGAAGATCACATTTTTACTGCAGGCCATCCGCGATGTATCCGCTGCAGAGGAGGTATGAGAGTCTGTTTACTGTCATCTGCACTGTAATATTTTTTTCCAGGCATCCATTTAGAGATGCATTGTCTTTAAACTGTATGTATGGCAGAAAGTGCTTTGTTTACACCATCCATTATGCCTCATACCTGCTCTCTCAGGGTCAGATGGTGTGCCATTGTCTTGTGGTCTTTGCGATGTTATTAGTAGTTAAGTAGCAACGTTGTGCTGACCACGAGTGGGCATGGTTAAATGGAGACTCTGGTGTTGTTCAGACTGGACCTATGTTTATGCTAGGGTTGAATTTGGTTTCAGGAACCACTGATTGCTCAAGATGAGACCAGCAACTTATTCAGACTAGGGCTGCAACAACTAATCGATAAAATCGATTATTATCGATTATGAAAATCATCGACTACTATTCTCATTATCGATTAGTCGGGTCTGCCCACAGTGCACGTCCAACTTCAGCCGGTTGCGTCAAATTACAGCACTGAATTACACATTTCTATGGACAAAATGCATCGAAAAATAGTGGAGGAAACGGAATGAGATGCTGCGGGAGAGTTACGTGATCCAAGCTGCCCAAAACATGAGAATTCTTTATTTTAAGCTTTAAGCTAATGCATTAGCGTAATGGCTTGCCCTGTCAGGCCCTTTGACAGATGCGTGTGCGTCCTCAGCGCAAAAACTTTCAGTTTACGGTCATATCCTTATGTATAAATGTCACAAATTCACGTGAGCATTTCCATTTTTGCATAAAGGTCCGTCCTGACAGTTTGTTTTAAGTTTTAATTAGGGATGCTCCGATCAGGGTTTTTGAGGCCGATCACAGAAAGCAGTATCTGCCGATACCGATAAACGATACCGATCTTTTTAAAGCCTTCTTTTTATCATTTATAACCGTTTATAGTGATACTCCAATCAGGATTTTTAGACATTTATTCAGGGCCTGAATTTCATTTTTTTTTCAAATTACACAACTAAATGTCATTAACATGTCATTGAATGGTTTTCAAATTACTTTACAAGTTATTTAATGAAGAAATATGAAGATGAGTACCTCACCTTCAGTATTATAATTATTTCACCCGCGCCGGACAGAGACTGAGACGGTGCCGCTGCATGTCG